CTCCCTCCGCCGCCAGCAGGAGTAAACTTGGTAAGCTACGCCGATGACTGCACAATAATGGCAACTGGCCCCAACATAGACAGACTTTGCGAACAAATAACCGACTATCTCACCGATCTTTCCAACTTCTTCACTGCAAGGAGCCTCCAAATCTCCGCCGCAAAATCCAGCGCCACACTTTTTACAACCTGGACCAAGGAGGTGGGGCTAGAACTGGACGTCTTCGTCGATGGCGCCAAAATACCGACGACTAACCACCCTAAAATCCTAGGAGTGACGTTCGATAGCCTCTTCTCCTTCTCCGCGCACACCACAGCCACATGCAACAAACTCCGAGCCAGGAACAAAGTCCTCAAATCGCTAGCCGGCAGCACCTGGGGAGCCAATAAAGAAACCCTGCTCGCGACCTACAAGGCAATCGGCCGGTCAGTGGCTAACTACGCGGCACCAGTGTGGACGGCGGGGACAAGCGACACCCAATGGAGGAACCTCCAAACCTGCCAGAATGCAGCTCTACGTACGGCTACAGGTTGTCATCTCATGTCGTCCGAGCATCACCTCCATGAAGAAAGCCAGATGCTGGCGGTGAAAGAGCACAACACCATGCTGTCGAAGCAATACCTCGTAGGCTGTCACCGAGGGAATCACCCCAACAATGCCTTGCTTCGTAACGAACCGCCCCCACGACACGTGAGACGACACCTGCACGACTGGAAAGCGGACATTGAGCCGTACGTAGACCATCCATTCGACGCAGCAACATACAGAGCGGCGCTCAACAGCCTACACAGCGATGCGGTCAGAACGAGCCTCAGTACGCGCAATGACAACATCGTCTTGGGCGGTCGACCACCGCCCATAGATTCAGAAGAAATAGAGCTGCCGAGAGAGACCAGGTGCACCCTAGCACAACTCCGTTCTGGGTGGTGTCACCGACTCAACAGCTACCTCTCTCGGCTGAACACACAAGTGGCAAACACATGCCCTGCATGTGGGCAAGGTCCCCACGACACCCAGCACCTCTTCACGTGCACCTCCAACCCTACGACCCTGACACCAGAAGCGCTCTGGACCGCGCCTATCGACGCAGCCCGCTTTCTCGGTCTCAGGCTCACAGAGTCGGAGGATGAAGACGACGACACATGACAAATCTGGGGGGTTCAGCACTGCTGCTACAACAACAACAACAACATTCCTAAGTGCGACCGAAGGCCGCCTACGCAGAAAGAAGTTCTGCGCTAAAATACTATCATACTACTATTACTATAGCATTTTTACCTGCCGCGTTTTTCCTTTTTTGTGGCCCAATTATATATGGCGACTGGGGTCTTGTCGCTATGGCTACCAGTATAGTACTTTGTATTATGTATAGCGATTAATCTCAGAACACAGAAAAGCGCAGACAACGTCCGAATTTACGTTTTTTTGACATGTACATTTCAACTTTTCTCCAATGTGTTTAACAAATTATGTAAACAAATAACACATAATAATTGGGCCATATGTATGGCGACTGATAGCCGATGGGCAACCATATAGTAAAATTTGCATTACGCATGGCTACTGGCTACGATTGTCGGCTATTGAGTCTCGTAGCGCAATTTTCTGTTTCCCGCTTATGCGGATTTTGTTATTTGTTTACATAAATTGTTAAACACATTGGAGCAAAGTTGACATGTACATGTCAATTCGGACGTCGTATGCGCTTTTCTGTGTTCTGAGATTAATCGCTATACATAATACAAAGTACTATACTGGTAGCCATAGCGACTAGACCAGCAACTAGACCCCAGTCGCCATATATAATTGGGCCATTAATATAACAATATTTGCAGTGAAATTTTTTTTTAAATAACTTTTTTACACAAAATCGCCTGATAACCAACTTTGGACAATTTATTTTAATTAAAAATCCCACGGTTTCTGTTCGTTGGGTTATATTCCACTTCAACTGCTCAGTTTTCCTCGGTAAATGCCGTTTTTCCCCCATTTTCAAACGGTTCCCTAGGGGTCTGTGGGCGGTCCCCAAGGATGGATGCGGCTTTTCGTAAAGTGGGGACTGTCCCCTTTCAAACAGGGTGGGTTTATGGGGCCACGCCCTTCCCCTCCGCGCCCACCCGCAAAACGGTGGGCCAATAACTAAATATTTCCCAACAATTGTATAGCTTTTGAGAAATTGTGACCGAATCTTTAAATCGATTTCCCAAAACCTGCCGAAAGTAACATACGCCAATATTTTACCCGGGCGGTGTTATTTTAGTGTTTAACGGAGCTTACCCTTCGGTTTCTGGCGTGCGCCTTATGTTGTCACACAAAGAGCAGGGACCTACAGTTTTACGCGGACTCCGACCGGTAATTGTATTTTTATGAAAAGCTCGTTTTCACGGCAGAAATACGCTCGGAGGATTGCCGTTGCCGGGCGACCGCTGTTAAGAAAAAAACGTTTTCCTATATTTTTTGCGATTTTGCTTTGATCTGCCCCTGCGGACTGACAGCGTGCACTGCAAACCACTACACTTCAGCGGAAGCTAATTAATTAAAATAAATTTGGAGCACATAATTTTCTTTTTTATTTTATTTTATTTACGTTAATCTCACTTTTCATTTGCATTTCCTTTCTCTTTCCTTCTAAAGGTCTTCCGTATTGTTGGTATTTGGTCACCTAGGATAATTGGTAACCTGTCACCCCAATCACTCGCCTTGGCACATCGATATGCATGGCTGTCAAGTAAAACCAATTTAAACGAAATATTTTAAAGAAAGAATAAATAGAAGTTACCTTCCATGTTTTGATTTTGTGAAGATGACCTCTTGCAATTTGGCTTCCGTGGTACACATACGGCAAATTATGTGTTTAGAACGAGACAATGTTGGTCGAACAAGTCTCGGCCATTTGCGAGTCGGATCAGAAATTTCGCCTTTTTTTAGTACGATATAGGAATAGCGGGTAGTATGTCGCTCATCATTCACATCGCCCAAACGTAAAGGAGCATATCCGACTTCGAAGTTGCACGGTGTATGCTCAACGTTATTAAATAGCCGGGGGCATGTTAAATTGTGCGAGCACTGAAAATTTTTAAGTTCAATTGAGTTGTAAAAAGAAAAATGATTTAAAAAATTACATCTTACCGGAGCAAAAACTTCACCTTTAAGGTTTTCGCTTTGCAAGCTCAAAATGAATTCTCTTGCTTCGTTGACTAATTCACTACCACGGCGAGTACCCTCTTCTACAATTACCAAATAGCCACTACATTTCTTCCATAAGTTTAATAATACATCCTTCCGGCTTAATGAGGTCGGTAGCTCAAAAAGGGTATAAGATAATATAACCAGATCATACATTGTCTAAAAACAGAGCATTTAAAGATTTAGGATCTACTGATGGTTAATAATTAAATACGAGCCTCTATAGCAGGTAGGAACTGTCTGTAGTAAACGTTGCGCAGCACCATTTGCTGGTTTTGATTTCCTTTGCGTAATATTAGCTCAGACAGGTCGTTCATACTCCGCGAACTATCCACATTGTAGTATTCAAAAATCGAGTCTTTCCACAAATTGCTAGCTGCCCACATACCAGTGCCTACACCTGATCCGAAATCAAAATAACTTCTGGGTTGGAATGAGCCATCACGTGCATGCAACTCATTCAAAATATTTGTAAGTACGCCGTACTCCTTCGCGCCTCGGCCAATTGCATAAACTAAAGATTCATATGACCCATATTCAATTGGCTTCCAAGCATATGTGCGCTGTGCTATTAATCGCTTGATCAACTTTTCTCGCTTTCTCCTCCACTGGGCTCCCTCTTCTTCTCCTAGTAATGACAGTTGTTCCGGTGGCATTCGTCTATCAACTTCTTCTATGTATGACTTCATCTTTCTGTTCAATTCAAGCTGCTCAATTGGAGGATGACGGGCATTAATATATTGATCAAGCTCCTTACAGTCCTTTAAAATGGTTTTCACGGGATGATCGCCAATAACACCTTCCAAGGCATAGCGTAAATTACTTGGTAACTCAATTCTAGAAGACTTCACAATGCCTGGATGGTGCCGCGGCTTCAATTCCTCATTTTCCAATTTTGCAACCAAGCTCGCCTCTACCTCCACCGCAATTTTACACGTATTTCGCAAAAAATGTTTTTGAACTTCATACCGAAAACATGTAACTAATTTTAATCCCACATTCATATCCCTTCCTTTTCTACAAGATGTACAAAATATCTTAATATTCCTGACTAGGGATTAGGAATGCCCGATATCCATCGATATTCGATGTTATCGATGGTAAGACGTAAAATATCGATGTTTTATAATCGTTTGCGGACTAGTTAATGGGCTGTTTTTGCTTACGCGTAAAAGCACATTTAGCGCATTTAGCTCTAAATGCTACTCTAAATGTACATTTATCCATACAAAATTCGTCACCTAAATGCAACTAAATGCAACTCCATTTTTGCATTTAGAATCTAAATGCTAAAAGCAGCCCTGTGATCTTCCAAAATTTCCACGATTCGAACATGGTTTAATGAGGAGAAGTGGCAACATTGCTTTTTCGAGTATACAGCCGCTAGCTGCGTTTCAGTGATCGCCGATCGAGATTTCATTTATTATTTTACATTACTTGGATAAAGAAAAGTTACGCAAATTAAACATCGATATGATGCTGATAGAAATCTGGATTAATTTGTGATCAACTCTGTTTGTTTTGTTTCCTAATTAAGTGTGGAAATTATAATTGACAGCACCGACAAATGAATATATACACAAACAAATGTTTGGTTATGGTTAAAACAATTCAAGTTTTTGTATTGAATTTTCGGTTTAGAATTTATTTTTTTCCTTTTCAGTAGTGATTTTTGGACATTATCTTTTCCGTGAGAATTTATCGTAATAGATACGGATCTGAATAAGCGACTGGAACACGGCTGTTTGTCAAAAGCATACGACTTCGAACTCGCGTAAATGTACATTTGCTAAATGCGATAGCATGAACGCTCTTCGAAAACATATGTTCGAAAGTGCTAAATGTTGCATTTTAAATGCAGCAAAAACGCTGCATAAGCTGAAAAGAACGTAAACCTACCGGTACGTAAACTCGAGTCAGCTGACACGATCTGTCTTACCAGAGCGCCAACTGAAAACTCAACACCGCAGCAGTTTTCTGTAGTTGTAGCCCGTAGCGCAGAAATCTGCGGAATTTAGATTTTTCCGTGTAGCTGATTTCTTCCTTCTATATATGGTTTCCACATCGTCAGTTTTGCAGATGGTAAAAAAGTTATAATTTCGTATTGCAATAACGTTTAAAATATTTGGAATTTACTATTGAATAACGTTTTTTGTTGAAAACTAAGTAGTTTATATTTAGCTACGATCTATTATAGCACGATTAATTGTAGTTGAAAAGGTAAGTTTATGAAAAGGCATTGATGAGTGGCAACACTGAGGGCTCCAGTAATCGACAAAATTCTGCGTATATAGACTGCGCTTAAGTATACGTTCTGCGTTATTGACTAATTTCAGCTTTAGAACATCGGCACATCGATACCTTGCACACATGAACGAAGACACAAGATCACGTAAGAACAAGAGAGTGAAAAAAGTCGATTTTTTGAGCGGGTTCTACGCCATCTTGTTTCACTGGAAAACGATCGAAAAGTAAACAAAGCAAAGAAAACAACGAAAACCAAAATAAGCCAAAATTATTGTCAGCCACTTTAAACGCACAATTTAGGTAAAATGATGCAACAAAATGCTTTAAAATGTGTTGTCATGTTGAATTAACTCTTCTTTACTTGAATAAAAGTGTAAAATAGTGGTGCTTGTGATGTAAACAAACGCTCAGCTGACGAACCCGTTTTCGCAAACTTTTTTCTCAAAACCAGTTACAAATACAACGTCGCGTTCTTACGTGATCTTGTATTTTTGGTTCATGCCTTGCACACATAATCGAAGCGTCGATGATTCGAGATTTCACTGTTCATACATCTATACCAGGTGCAGTCCCGTATTCCTCGGACTCGGTCTAGTAAAACTGTCAAAAAATAAAAATTCGCTCAGAGCGAGAGAGTAACATTGAAAAGTACGGGATCGCTTTCTAGTAAAAAAAAGTAACTTCTGTCCACTTCAACATAACCTCCAAATTTTTGTTGTAAATTTTTGCTTATTTTGTATGTAAACACACTAAGCTTACACATGTAAATAACCAAAAATACTTCCAAATTCATTACAGCTGATCGTTCGACAAATTTACCAGAATTTACCAGCAAAAAATTCTCGGACTAAAACTGAAATCTGACTGATTCTGACTAGTCCGGACTCGTACGCGATCGCAACTACCATGGTAAAAACATTCAAAGGTAAAACCGCTCGCTCAATTAGTCCGCCATTGGATTTTTGACGTTTGCAAGCATTTTGAGTTTACTCTCTCGAAATAATTCTAATGTGAAAGAAATTCAAACTATACAAATGAAAATTTATGGTTTGAAATATTTATTTATTGAGAAGTTGAAAAAACCAAAAAAAATTGGAAACGTAAACTTAGTTGCTGCTTAAACGGCTGCGGAAACTCCGTTGTCCTTTGCAAGCAAAGCAATATCGGCTGAGATTTCCATTACGGAACCAATTGCTATTCTTCGCAAAGTATACTGAATTTTTTTATGAAACTCGGTGGAGATACTAATGGAAGTCTTCTTTAATTATATTTATCACTTTCACAATGTTGTTGCTAATAGTACTTAAGTTATTTGTTGTTAAAATATCCCCCCTACTATCACTATATTTTATTATAAAACCACACTTATCACTTTTATTTATACAAATATACTATCCTTAAAAGGTTCGCATGCGTTTGTGATACTTTAATATACAATTATTAATTAGTTAATTAAGTAAAACGCGGCGCTTTTTCCATAAAAATCAATACTTCGATAAATAATGAAGTTTTTTAATAAAATATTGCGTGATATTTTATTACAAATTTTCGCCTGCAGCGCTTTTCCCATAAAAATCACTACTTCTATAAATAACTAAGTTTACATTTTTATTACAAAATCTCTCGATTTTAGACTGAATCACTTTTTCATCAATACATCGATATTTAAATAAAAAAAGATTAATTACAATGTCCATTTTTATTGTTTCTCGTTTTCAGTGCTTTTTTTTGTGGCATTTCTTGTTGTGTGGCAGCACCGACATTTTAGTTCGTTAGTTTTGTCGACGCGATTTTTCACATTCCCTTTTGGTGTTGCTCGTTTCATTTACACACGGCGAATTTTGTGTATGCAATTGTTGTTGTCTGCTGTGAACCGCTAACTCAATTTACACAGACGAACGAGAGCACAAAGCGTGTTGCCCGAGCACGGGCAACTCGGTGCCCCTCTCCTTTCCTCGTCACGCTCTCTCCTACAATCATCGAGTTGCGGCAACAAAAATCGCCGTGTGTAAATGAGCACAAAGCAAAAAGTGAAGTTGACATTTCTTGCAACTTAAAATTCAAATTTCTTAAAAATTATAAGCCTCCGGAGGGGGAGGTTTTCAGATTTACAATCACAAAAAGCCGCTCTAAACCCCCCGAGTTCCGTATTGGAAAACTTTCCCTCGTTGTATTTGTAACCGAATTTCAGAAAAAAGTTTTCGTAGCATTTTTGATGTTTTCCCCGTTTTGTGTACATCGTGTGGCGAAATGAAACCACATATAATTGTGCTTTGTATAATGCTTAAATTCAACTTTATTAATTAAACTAAATTTTGATATCAGAAAAGGCACGCGTTGAAACAAGAACCGTTTAAGAATGTTCTAGAAGTCGCTTTTAAAAAAAGAATGTATCAAAAAGAACACATAAAATAGCGATGAGCCAAAGTAGTGTTTCCACATGTGCCGATTAATGCAGGGTCCCCACACTACTCCCCCCTAAATGAGGCATTAGGTATAAAACGAATTTAATTTGTAGATTTGCAGTCCCGATTGGTGGCTGAACTAGAGGATGTGCTGCTTGGATGGGATGGCTGATTAGTTCCTGGTTGCCAGAGGGGAAGGCTGGTGGTAATGCGCGGCCGTAGCAAGTTCCCTGGCGGATGCAATGCGTGGTGGTTGTTGAAAACGTCGTCGGTGGCGAGGTGAGCTGGTTTAATGCGCTCGATGTTCACGTAAACTTCTTTGCCGTTTACTTCGATGGTGAAAACTCGTTCGTCAATCCTTTTTACGACTCTGTGTGGTCCTGAATATGGCTGGTCAAGAGGCCGTTTGGTAGCATCGATCCTTAGAAATACATGCGTGCATGTTGCCAGGTCCTTAAAACAGAATACCTTTTGTCGACAATGATGTGATGTAGGTGCTGGTCGGATTTCTCGCATATGTGTGCGGAACTCCCTGAAGAAGAAGTGCGGGTCAGCTGGTGGGTCTTCGTTTTTGAAAAATTCCCCCGGAACTCATAGTGTTGTACCATACAAATATTCAGCAGGTGATGCCCTCATGTCATCTTTGTAGCAGGTTCTCAACCCGAGCAACACTGCGGAAAGTACTTGCGTCCACTGCTGCTTCTGATTACTCATGATAGCGGCTTTTAAAGTGCGGTGCCATCTCTCGACCAGTCCGTTGGCTGCGGGGTGGTAGGCTGTAGTACGGATGCGCTTGCCACCAACTAGGCGTGACAAGGCTGTGAAAAGCGAACTTTCGAATTTAGTGCCTTATCAGTTGTGAGTAGCTTAGGGCACCCAAAACGTGCGAGCCAGTGAGCGTAAAAAGTGTTGGCGACGTTATTGGCAGTGATATCTTTGATAGGCACAGCTTCCGGCCACTTAGTGAATCGGTCCACCATTGTCAGACAGTATTTGGTCCCACTATGTCCAAATGAATGTGGTCGAACCTACCGTCCGTGCTAGCGAATGAAACGGGTGTTGAACGAACATGGCGACCTACCTTGGAGCGTTGACACGGGAGGCAGTCACGAGCCCTTTGAGTTATATCTTTGTTCATCGAAGGCCATACCTATCGTTGTGCGATGATCTTCACGGACGCCCTGCCACTGGGATGTGCCAAATTGTGTAACAAACCATATACTTTTTTACGGAGCTGCAACGGTTCGAACGGTCGGATATTGTTGGTTGATACGTCGCACGTTACTCCTTTGCCTTCAGGTCCGCAGTAGACCGTTTGCAGTTTGAGTGACGTATCGTTGTGAGCGAGCAGGTGCAGGAGTTCTTCATCTGATTCTTAGGCGAGTGACAGTTCCTCGGGGGCGATGCTCATTGGCAGATGTATG